GTGATCTCTCTCATCAGGAGCTAGTTCTAGTTACCACTGTCTCGGGTTCAGCACTCATACACTATTCATGTCCATATCACATCTCTCCTGCCCATGCATCTTCAGGCTTAGACCAAACCAGACTCTTTTTGAGTTACTTTTGTGGCCTCTCTGTTTCTGTCATCCAAATGTCAATAATGAGGTTGTAGGCTATTTCTTTTAAAGACATCTTGATATCGGAATCGGTGTGTCCTTCCTGCAAACTCCTAGATGTGATTCAGCTGCACTGTACGGTAAGTGTGCAGTATTTCATCAGACTTTGCATGCGAGTCTTTCGTTTGGTTTGTGTGTCACGGTAAACCAAACATTGTAACTTAATGACAATGGCTTAACTGTTGTGGTGTTTGGTGTATTAATGAAAGTATTAAACGTAATGTGAAATGCAACAGAATAAAAAGTTAATTCACTGTTTTTGTGGAATTAAGGATGTTTCAGTAAGAGGGTACAGTTAAGAAAGTTTCTTTTATCTTAAAATATCTTCCAATGAGAATATTTTAATATACAGTATAATTACTGTTTAAGGGTAAAAAAAAACACCAGCAGTAAAAACTGTTGGTTTGTCCGCACAGAATCCATTATTGTTTTGATTGCATAAAATGGTTAGCTTTAAGCGTACATAGGTGCATGTGTAGTTAATAATAATAACCTATTTCTTTCTTTTTCTTGCTCATTTCCAACATTCAGCATGTTTATTGAAAGGTAATCTATCAGTCGTAGATGTACTTGTCTATTTAGATGATTATACTGCTTATGCAAATTAATTCAGTGTTAATTAAATTCTTCATGAATCTGCTAATTATTGAAGGGTTAGGGTAATAAACTTTATTTAATTTATGAAGGCAAATTACTTTTGGATTTCTGGCGGATTGAAGTAGAATAAAACAACAGAATATTATAAATACGTTACTGTTATATTTACAGTAAATTGAGATTTTTTGATTTTTGATTTTCATGTTCAAAAGATTCATCTACCCAGAGGATAAATCAAATTCATAACAATGAAGCGTAGCAAGCATCGAGCCTCCAAGGATGATGGCAAAGGTCAAGGTGAAAGATTCTATTAATAATGTGTAAATTATTGTGAATTCTTCAACATGTTTATTATAGCATTATAGCATTATATTAATTATTATATATTAATGATTAATACATTTAAATAATTATGTAAGATTACATCATATATAATACTTATATAATAATCTAAAATAATATAAAAAAAAACTGTAGTGCTGTCCATAATTATATCATATTTCATATGTGACTTGTGAAGATGAGCCGGCCATCCTGGAGACGGAGGACATGAGGATGCCAGACCCGGACACCATCTCACTCGCATCAGTCACTGCCGTCACAACCAATGTCTCCAATAAGAGGTGACCAGAAATTATAAAGTCACATGAACCCAAATCAAATTTGATATTCTGCATTACATTTATTTTTGTTCTAACAAAAATATATTACTGTATTCTAATAGAGAGTTGATCAACTATTCAACTTTTTTTTCATCCAAAAATGTCCTAAATGTTTTAGATCAAAGCCTGACATCAAGATTGAGCCTAGTGCTGGAAGACCAGTGGATTTCCAAGTACGTAGAACAGCATATTGCAATTTTTAACAGAAAGAGTTTTTTTTTTTTTTGTAAAGATGCACATATGTGACCCTGGAGCACAAAAGCAGTGTTGAGTCGCTGGGGGATATTTGTAGCAATAGCCAACAATACATTGTATGGGTCAAAATTATACATTTCTCTTTTATGCCAAAAATCATTAGGATATTAAGTAAAGATCATATTCCATGAAGATATTTTGTAAATTTCCTACTGTAGATATATTAAAGCTTAATTGGTGATTAGTAATATGCATTGCTAAGAACTTCATTTGGACAACTTTAAAGGTGCACTCTAAAAAAATGCTGGGTTAAATACAACCCAGCACTGGGTGAAATATGGACAAACCCAGCAACTGGGTTGTTTTGACCCAGCGGGTGGTTAAATGTTTAACCCAATCTTCTGGGTAGTAACCCAACCACTCGGTCAAAACAACCCAGTTGCTGGGTTTGTCCATATTTCACCCAGTGCTGGGTTGTATTTAACCCAGCATTTTTTAGAGTGTGATTTTCTCAGTATTTAGATTTTTTTGCACCCTCAGATTCCAGATTTTCAAATAGTTGTATCTCGACCAAATATTGTCCGATCCTAACAAACCACACATCAATGGAACGCTTATTTATTCAGCTTCCATATGATGCATAAATCTCAATTTGGGAAAATTGACCCTTATGACTGGTCTTGTGGTCCAGGGTCACATATTTCAAGCTACACATTTCATGCAAAGTTTGTTAAAACAATAGATGTAGTGTAGAAAATGAAGACAGTCAGTATTGTGTTTGTGATTGGTGGAACATGTTGATAGTTAAAGTGAAAAACTACGCCTGTGGAGCTTCTGCTTACACCGGTGTGAACTTCATGCACCGTACAACAATAAAAATCACAAAACATCTGCTGATTCAGAAACATTGAGCTTAAAGAAAAGTGCTATTAGTGAATAGATAAGATCTTCCAGCATTTGAGGCATGCAGATAAATTAATCCTATAGTTTTGTATCATGCAAACATTTTGGATTAGATTTGAATACCATCCACATACAGTACCACATACCACATTTGTTAATGTGTGTCATGCCCCACTTTCCAGGTCAGTGTCACTGTTATAGAGGCCAGACAGCTGGTGGGTCTGAACATGGATCCAGTGGTGTGTGTAGAAATCGGTGATGACAAAAAATACACCTCAATGAAGGAGTCGACCAACTGCCCTTATTACAATGAGGTATGTTCCTTTTTAATTTAGGATTGTAATATTGTCCTTTTACAAAGTAATGATCATGACAAATAACTACTCAAAATATATCAAAATAATCACATAATCATCTTAAAGGAGTAGTTCACCCAAAGTTTGCTGAAGATGTGCTAACTCTCCAAGATTAGGATGAGTTTGTTTCTTCATCAGATTTGGAGAAATGTAGCATTGCATCAGTGTCTCAGCAATGGATGCTCTGCAGTGAATGGGTGCCGTCAGAATGAGAGTCCAAACAGCTGATAAAAACATCACAATAATCTACAAGTGATCCACACCACACCAGTCCATCAGTTACCATCTGGAGAAGACAAAAGCTGCGTGTTTGTAATAATAAAAAAAAAATGCATCAAGACGTTTTTAACTTCAAACCATTGTTTCTGCCTAAATTACAAGTCCATAGCCCATAATAACATTTCCTCCAGCAACAAAGTTGTCTTGTCTGAATCAGGAGAGAAATCTGCACAGATCAAGCACTGTTTACTCCCTGGAGGAAGAATTATTATGGATTAGCATTTTTTTTTAACCAGAATGGACTGTTTAAAGTTAAAACATCTTAATGATGGATTTGTGTCTTACAAACATGCAGCTTTTGTCTTCTCCAGATGTTAACTGGTGGACTGGAGTGCTGTGGATTACTTGTAGATTATTGTGTTGTTTTTATCAGCTGTTTGGACTCTCATTCTGACGGCACCCATTCACTGCAGAGCATCCATTGCTGAGACACTGATGCAGTGCTACATTTCTCCAAATCTGATGAAGAACAAACTCATCTACAAATTGAATGACCCGAGGGTGAAGACACTTTCAGAAATGTTACACTTTCGAGTGAACTGTTCCTTTAACACTGCTAATATAATGTTTTGATAAAAGCTTTCCTTTTTTTTCAGTACTTCGTTTTTGACTTCCACGTTCCTCCTGATGTCATGTTTGACAAGATCCTGAAAGTGTCTGTAAGTAGCAACACAAATCAATTCTGAATAGTTCAATCCTGCACTTTTTCATAAAAGATTGTGTTTTTTGTGTGTGTTTGTGTTTGAAACTTGTTGTAAATGAATGTGTCGATACAGGTTATCCACTCTAAGAATCTTTTGCGAAGTGGCACGCTGGTCGGGAGCTTCAAGCTTGATGTGGGCACAATTTATACACAACCTGGTAACTGGTCTTATCATGCTTCTCTATCCACCTTATTTTAAAACACAGAAGTAAGCGATTTTCTGTGAATGTGCAAGACTTCTGCTTCATTAGCCACTATAGATAAATAAATAGAAAATAATACTACAAACCAGTCTGTTTATGATTATGCTAATAAATTAAAATATGATAACAAATACCTGTTTGCAATATTATATTTTACTGGCAAAATAAATAGCAATTAATGACACTGGAAGTTACAAATGACCACGCCGCTCTTAAGTTAAAAATAAGGTGGATAAAATTCTCACTTTTATCATGTTTTTTTTTTCTTTACATTTACAGAACATCAGTTCTTCCACAAATGGGCCACTTTATGTGACCCCGATGATATCACTGCTGGATGCAAAGGCTATGTCAAGTGTGACATCGCAGTTGTGGCAAAGGGCGACACTATCAAAACTCCACACAAGACAAATGAAACAGACGAGGATGACATTGAGGGGTAAAAAAACCAAACAAAAAAATCTTCCTACATTGCTAATGTTATTTTCCAAGAAAAGCATCGCTGTTACTAAACCATTCTCCAAACTCAAGTATTCCCAACTTATTTTGAAAGCCCTGCGAAACAAATATTTACTTGTAATAGTATTTAATCAAAACGTGAAATCCGAGATTCTAGTTTATTATTTTACCTGTCACACATTATAAATGCTGAGGTCACTCGGATAATTCCATCCAACGATGTATTGAATATTTAAAGGAGATTCTATATGCAGAAACACAAATCTCTTCTTCATTGATTACTTTCTTGTTTCCAGTAATCTTCTGTTGCCGGAAGACGTCCCGGCTGAGCGTCAATGGGCAAGATACTATGTGAAAATCTACCGAGCCGAGGGGTTGCCCAAAATGAACACCAGCATAATGGCAAATGTAAAAAAAGCTTTCATTGGAGAAAATAAGGACTTGGTTGATCCGTATGTCCAAGTGCTATTTGCAGGGCAGAAGGTGGGCAGAATTCTTACTGATGGTCAACTGACTTGTTTTAATGGTGTACAGAGTGACCAATATAATGCCTATATATGAAAATATAATATAGTTTAATGATGGAAAGTAGGGTTCATCATTAAACAAAGCACATTTTACACAATATTCAAAATTTACAAAATAACATTTTTAAATGCACTATGAAACTGAAGACTCCGGAAGACTTCCGTCCTGTTAAAGACTCCATGAAATGACTGGCGAACACAGTTTTCCTTCCTGTGTTAATGTATTTCCTGTTGAAACAGGAAGTTTGAGTGGGACATATTAAAGACATTTTTATTTTATACCACTATTTTCTGCTTGCTAGTCAGATTTTTACTAGAATTTATTGTAATGCATTTGAACTATTTGCAAATCATATTTTTATTTTAAGACATACATTCACTCTAAGTAATGCCTATCTGCCAAAAAAAATTGTATTGTCTCTTAATATTCAATTATGAATTAGATAAATCACTAAATTATATATTTTCCATTCAAAATGGCAATATTGTTGAGTAGTTTGCAGCACTGGATTGCTGTTGGTTGCTTAACATTAATTTTGAAAAACAGTTGTCATACATTAAAGGGATAGTTCACCCAAAAATGAAAGTTTAATGTTTATCTGCTTACCCCCAGGGCAAGATGTAGGTGACTTTGTTTCTTCAGTAGAACACAAACGAAGATGTTTAACTCAAACCACTGCAGTCTATCAGTCTTATAATGGCAGTCAATGGGCTCCACGGCTTCAAGAGTAAAAAAAACATAGTTTCCGTTTGAGAACAAAAAAAAAAAAATCATAATTTGTGTTCTACTAAAGAAACAAAGTCACCTACATATTGGATGCCCTGGGGGTAAGCAGATAAACATCAAATTTTAATTTTTGGGTGAACTATCCCTTTAAATATTTAACTACAACCTGTATCTTTCCTTTTGACTAAAAAAAAACACTCTAAAGTTCAACTAATTGCATTTAATATAAATTTAAAATGATTGTACTTTTTCATTTAATTGTAAATAACAATTATATTGTCCGAAAACATTACATTCAGTTCACACCTTAAGTATATTCTTTTAATGTATAGGATTTCCTTAATAAGAGGTCCTTTTAAAAGTATGCTAAAGTGTGCTTCTGTTTCAGAAGGGGAGGCATCAGTATTTTTGATCCACTGATCTATTTCATCTGTCCACAATGCAGGGTAAAACTTCAATTCAGAAGAGCAGCTATGAGCCGATTTGGAATGAGCAGATCGTTTTCACTGAGCAGTTTCCACCTCTGTGCCGGAGAATGAAAGTCCAGATCCGTGATTCGGATAAAGTGAACGATGTGGCCATCGGAACACACTTCATTGACCTGCGGAAGATTGCTAATGATGGAGACAAAGGTAACAGGGCTCCCTGAACACCTTGGCAAAGTCTGCAAAAGTAATATACTACCGTGCAGAAGTTGGGAATAATAATTTTTTAGATTTCTTATCTATTTATTTGATAACAATACAGTAAAAGAGTAATTGTGTGAAATAATATTACAATTTAAAATAATTGTTTTTTATTCGCAGTGTCACATAATCCTTCAGAAATCATTCTAATATGCTGATTTGCTGCTCAAGAAACATTTCTGATTATGATCAATGCTGAAAACAGTTTGCTGCCGAATAAATAAGATACTTTGATGAATAGAATCAGCATTTTTACTGTCACTTTTGATTAATTTAATGTGTCCTTGCAAAATAAAAGTTTTTTTTTTTGTTTTTTTGCTTACCCAAACTTTTAAATGGTGAATTACGGTTTCTACAAAAATATTGGGCAGCACAATTGTTTTCAACATTGATAATAATAATACATGTGTTTTGAGCCGCAAATCAGCATATTATATATTGGTTTATTAGTAATGATGCTGAAAATACAGCTGCGCATCACAGAAATACATTACAGTTTAACAGATATTCACATAGAAAACAGTTATTTTAAATTGTAATAATATTTCGCAATATTGCTGTTTTGCTGTATTTAAGATCAAATAAATGCAAACTTCCTTCAAAAACACACACACACACAAATAATTTCTTATTCCAAATGTTTGACCAGTAGTGTATTTACTTTGTTTCTTGTTGTTTATTACATTTTGCTTTGAATACTCAATCACACAAAGCCGTCACTACATTGCTGTTCAAGAAACATTTGTAAAAATCCTTATCCTAGGATTTACTATAACTATAAAAGTCATGGAATGACATTGATCAAAAGGTCAAAAATTAAAACTGATCCTGTTTTTATTGACAGGCTTTCTTCCAACTCTTGGGCCGGCTTGGTCCAACATGTACGGCTCCACACGCAGCTACACACTCATGGACGAGTACCAGGACCTGAATGAAGGAGTAGGGGAAGGGGTGTCTTTCAGGGCCCGGTTGCTGATCAGTCTGGCCGTGGAGATACTGGACACCTCCTCTCCTGAAGTAATGAGCTCCACTGAGGTGCAAGTGGAGGGGATACCCAACATCTCAGATGTAAGCGATCCATAGACGGGGTGGTTCGACAGGCCAATTACAATGAATAATTAATTGTCTTTATTTATCTCCCTACATTATTCATTTAGCAACAATACTCATAGTAGTTCTTTGTCTGCAAGACAATCATCTACACAGTCAGAGCCAAAATTAGGCTTCATTACTTGCTGTTAAAAATTAATCAGTTTGAGAAAATAGAACTGTTTTGAATTGTTTATGAGCACAGTGACATAATTTTTGTCTAATCTTAGGAAAACCCTCATACACTGAAAAAAAAAATGGTGCAGAAACAAATTTCAATCAGAAATTCCTAGTAAATGTCACGATTAGTTACAAAGAAATGGCAAGTAGTGCATTGGATTAACATTACATTTTAAAGTAAATAGATATTTTCTTGTAACGCATACTCTGAAAACCTTTTTACTTACAACAAAGTGTATTCACAAAACATTATTTAATCAATTGTTTGTTGCTTATATCTAGAATGCCACGGGAAAAATTGAAGAGTTCTTTCTCTTTGGATGTTTCCTTGAAGCCACTATGATTGACAGGAAGATTGGAGACAAACCCATCAACTTTGAGGTTACAATAGGTAAAATCTATGGTAGTTATCAGTCTTTACTAGTTATCAGTCTTTAAATTGAGGTCAGAGTTGTTCACCATTCAGAATGCTACGGAATTCTTTCAAAGAAATGTATATTACTGCTGTGAGTGTACTTTTTAATAATACATTTTCATATTTTAGTATGAATGACACCAGTTCGATATATATACAATGTATATGGGCAAATTCCTGAAACGCTACAGTAGATTATATTAATAAACAGTGTTTCAAATGCCATTTCACCAATTCAGCCTTCTTATGTTATTCAATATGAATTCAAACTCATTAAAACGCAAACCCCTCTAACTTTTACATGAAAGGACCATTAACTGGCTTTAAAGGAATAGTTGACCCAAAAATAAAAATAAATGCGCTCACCCTCAGGCCATCCAAGATATACTGTAGATGAGTTTGGTTGTTTCATGGAAACAGATTTGGCGAAATGTAGCGTCACATTACGGTACTTGATCACCAATGGATCATTTGCAGTGAATGGGTGCCGTCAGAATGCGAGTCCAAACAGCTGATAAAAGCATCACAATAATCCAAAAATTATCCACACCACTCCAGTCCATCAATTAATGGCTCGTGAAGCCAAAAGCTGCATGTTTGTAAGAAACAAATCTGCTTTTAACTTCAAACTGTTGCTTTTGGCTAAAATACCATAATCCATAATAACTCTTCCTCCAGTGAAAAAGTGGTCTGGTCTGAATCAGGAGATAAATATGCGCAGATCATGCACCATTTACAGTCCAAAACAGCTCTAAATAAATATGTGTGTGGATTTTGATGTGAGAGGCAACAGGAGATGCACATTTTCACTGGAGGAAGTGCCAATATGGATTTTGGCTTGAAAGACTGAAACAGTATTTTTTTGTAAAACATACTCCAATAATCTTTCTTTTATCTTACAAATTCAAAACATCATGTTTTACAGTGCACAGAAATGATACACTTCACTTCTATGAAAGTAATTCCTACTTAAAGATACCTCATTAAACTATCCTCTCAAATCAAGGAAACTACGGCAGTGAAGTCGATACCCCAACCAAGCCAAAAACAAAGAAGAAGAAGGGTGGCGATGGAGATGATGAGGAGTCTGAACTCATTTACGGCTCCAGTGACGACGAGGTGGATGATGGTGGAGATATGACATCAGTTTCCACCTCTCCTCCAATGAAGCCAGTCATCACTGACAGGTTCAGTTACTCAACATGACCCAAAACCCATTTATTTATTTTATTTTGAATTTTGGTGCAAAATCATCTGAAATGTCTGGTTTAATTTTCTGCAGAAACTATTTCCACCTGCCGTACTTTGAGAGGAAGCCCTGCATCTATATCAAGAGCTGGTGGCAGGACCAAAGAAGACGACTTTATAATGCTAACATCATGGACAGAATTGCAGATAAATTGGTAATAAATCAATGAATATAGATTATATTAGGTAGTTTATGAAATACTGAAAAACTTAAGTGTCTATTTTGGATGCTCTCTTTTCACTAGTCAGAAAGAAGTCAAATAATGGAAGGAAATTAGCCCAAAACCTCAAAATTGACCAGTGCATGAAAAAACAATGGTTTTGTCTGTAGTGTCTCACCTTAAATCCCATTTTTCATCATAGTTTCCATTTAGTAATCAATAACAATCCTAGTTACAGTTAACCCTCTGGGGTCTGAGGGGGTTTGGGGGCACTGAAGAGGTTTTGACATGCCCTGGCATTTGTGGGGGGTTTTTTCAGTATCTTAAAAACATATTAATGGCTAAAGTCTGATAACACTGTATTCAGCACAAACTGGGCTACAATAATATGTGAGCAGCATGAATGTACATGTTTGTGTTTTTGAGAAAACAATGTTTATGCATGGTTAGTGGAAAACGTCTCTATGTTACACATGTAATGTCTAGGTTATGTTCCCTGATGGAGGGAACGGAGACGTTATGTCGAACGACATATGGGGTCTCACTTGGGAGGCCAATCATCGCTGAGTTTAAGAGAAAACACCAATGAAAATTGGCTAGTGGATTTTGCATGCTGAGCCACTCCTCGTGCCTACGGGTATATAAGGTGACAGCGCGCATCCACTCATCAGGTTTTACGCCGAGGAGCCGAGAAACAGCGAATAGTTCAAGGTTGTGGCATGGGGACATAACGTCTCCGTTCCCACCATCAGGGAACGAGGGATACGTATGTAACCGAGACGTTCCCTATCTGTCGGTCACTACGAGTTATGTGACATATGGGGTCCATGGAAAACGCCACAACCTGAACACCGTCACAACCCTGTTTGTTACGGTGTCGCTACGGAGACCACATCCACAACCGTAGGGAGGTGACATGTAGAGATACTGATATGGACTGACCCAGGGGGCAGTACTACATATAGAATAATGGAACAACTGCCAGAAGAGACTGATCGAGCTGGTCTGTTGAGGGAAGACACGGGTTTACCGAGAGGGAAACCTTACCGTGGAGGAATACACATATGGGATTACCCATAGTGAATAAAGCCATATGGACACCTAGCCCAGTACAGGGGCTGACCGGGACTCCGGGCATGCTAACACCAGTACTGGGCCTGGAGTCAGACTGCTCCACCAAATCTGACTGCCGAGGGTGCTGGAGGATGCTCGACCAGGGTTCGCCAACCGGGGAACTCTGCTGGGAGAAGAAAAACGCTCGCATCCCCATGTGAGGGGAAATTGCGCAGCAAGCATGACACGGAAAACCTTGCAAAGGTGTTAGGTATCACCCAGCCCGCAGCTTGACAGATGTCTGCCAGAGAGCAGACAGCGCCCAAGAGGAGGCAACACTTCGAGTGGAGTGGGCTCTCACCCCCAGGGGGCACGGCTCGCCTTGGGATTGGTACGCCAAGGCGATGGCATTCACTTTCCAGTGGGCCAACCTCTGCTTGGAGACAGTCAAGTCAAGTCAAGTCACCTTTATTTATATAGCGCTTTTAACAATACAGATTGTGTCAAAGCAACTGAACAGCATTAATTAGGAAAATAGTGTCAATAATGCAAAATGACAATAGTAAACACACATTTTTCAAAGACAGTTCATCATTGAATTCAGTGATGTCAACATCCAGCTCAGTTTAAATAGTATCTTTGCAATCATGTCAACGATATCGCTGGAAATGAAGTGTCCCCAACTAAGCAAGCCAGAGGCGACAGCGGCAAAGAACCAAAACTCCATCGGTGACAGAATGGAGAAAAAACCTTGGGAGAAACCAGGCTCAGTCGGGGGGCCAGTTCTCCTCTGACCAGACGAACCAGCAG